CCCCCCCCCCCCGCGTCCTGTAACACGCCGCCGCCGAAACCCCTCCGTTGACGATGTCGATGACACGACAACAGGAACGCGCCAACATCATCAACTCCCGCCTCAACGAAGAGACGGCGGCGCTGGCGAAGAAGCAGGCGGCCTTCCAGCGAAACCAGCGAGATAACGACGCCAACGCCGAGGAAGAGTTCGAGATATTCTGCTCGGAGGCGATGTTCAGAATACAGGTAAATAAGAAGAGCGAGTTGTCGTCGTCGTCGTCGTCGTCGTCGTCGTCGTCATCGTCGTGGTTGAGCTGCGCTTCCCTGGAAGCCACGGTTCAGAATCAAGAGCATGGGGGAGAAGCCGCCCTCTACTCCTGACAGGGAACAAGCAAAAAGATCAATGTATTGGGCGGGCGATCTATTGAATACCGTACATGTAGGCCAACGGTTATCGTTGTTCCTGTACGCATCAAGTGCGTTCGGTTACTCCTTGCAGGCCCCGTGGTGTTGCAAAGGGTCCAAAGTGTGAGCGCCGGGCGTATGCAAAGGTGATTCATTCGCACCGATGATACGGAGGGAAAATCGAGTTAGTTCTCGTTGTCACTCCTTCCCCCCCCAAATCGCTTTGTTTTTCCGTGCGTAGTCTACATGCGTCGTTCGGGAGAAACGAAGGATTGATGGCGTTGTCGAATGTCGGTAGGCCGTGTGGCCTACGTGTGTGTCCCGTGCGATGCCGGTCTATTGACCAACACGATTTTTACTGCCACCAATCGCTGCAGAAGGCTGCCAATAGTCTACCGTAGACATTTGACACCGCGACCTCCCCTCTGCTGCCGACCACCACCGCCATCGGCCAACAACTCCCGCCTCGGGTGATTGTTGTGCCGTGCGCAGGTGCTGGAGCAAAGGCTGGTCCAGCACGAGGAAAACGCCCTCAAGAAGTACGCCGACGTGGACGCCAAGCTGGCCTCGGACCCTCGCCTTCGAGCGCTGAATCCGTAGATGCAACACCATTCGACGTCGACAGGAGTCAAATAAAAGCTGTTCCTCACGTTCTATGGCTCGTGAAAACTACAATGTTCTCTTCTAGCGTGTTCGGTTGTATTGAGTGCGTTCCAGCGAGAGACCAACAAAACACACTTCGTTTATGTTTAAAGAAAGACCGCTGGATTGTACTCATCGTACAATGTAGAGAGGCGACGACAATCAGCGAACGAGGGCAACGTTGACTCCAATTTGGCCGCCCACCCTTTCGCCTGCTCCTGGTACTGGACCATTTACGAAGTCAATGCTGCCTGCTGGAATCGCGTCTGTTCGCATATATGTGCAGCTTGAGAGACATCAACCAAATAATGCCGAGGTCATCGGGTGGAATTAGGTGTGCTTTGACAGTAGATGCTGCTTGATGTCGGTAGACACATTCTGTTTTCCTGCTGCACCATCAGAAGGAGATGCAGAAGAAGTACACCGGGCAGAGGTCAAATGATTTTCATGCGTGAAGACATAAATACTCCTAGTCCTTGTTGCGGTTGCCAATCGCAGCTATAATAGCTGCTCGTTCTTGTTGGCACCGCTGGTGGAGCCACATCGCAAGCCGGTATTCTCTTGAGAATGCTAGTACCCCCCACCTCGGTATTGTCCGAGCAACCTTCCTTCAAATAGCTGTGCTCCAAGCCTTCCTCTCTCCTGCGGGATAAAGACGCACTACCTTTCCAAAACACAAAATAATCATAACACACGGGCTGCCGAACTCCACGTATTTTCGTTGTTTGGCCTAGCCTTGTCTTCCGAAAGCGACGCTCATTGTTCGAACCCAACCTCGTCACCCCCAAAGCCCTATCGACATCAACTGCCCGACTAAATAACTGCCCAAAGCCACCATTTTCGAAGGGATGGCCCGCGGTCTTCAAGAATACTTACCACCGTGAACAAAATTGGGATTACTGAACGCCGCTGTAACCTCTTTCCTGTGTTCAAAGGCGGAGAACGACTTGTTTTCGTGATCACATGCTAAAATACTTGAAGAGGTATCCCAAAAAGATCCCACAGCAAGTTGCGCCAATCGATTGGTACCGAGAGAGGAAGAAGTAGGACAAGGCATATTTTGTTGCCGCAAAAGGGACAGTGCCGACGTCGGTACCCGCTGCTACAACAAGGAAGCGCACATGTTGAAAACAGGACCGATTTGGCGTGTCTGTTTTTCTGCGAAAAAAACGAACGAAAACGCACGTAAAATGCATACGTCTCACACCCTTTCTGCCGGAAAATGCGTGTGCATGCCCCGCTTATCTGCCCCCCCCCTCCTGCTCTTCGCTTCAACGCCATATGACCACCATAAACCTGTACCACCACAAGTCAGCACGATGTACCAAGAGCGTAGTCATGAAGAAGCAATCTCCGCTTGCGAAACAAACGCAAAAACGAGAGGAATCGTAGAAACACGGGTAGCCCAGACTCTCACCTGTGTAGATGTTTTCGTTATGACCAAACAATTCAAACCAACAAAAAAAAGGACGATGAGACGGGAAACAACTCTTGCGCTCCACAAAGTCGAAACGGATTCCCATGTGCCCTCGTACCCCTCGAGATGGGAGGAAGCGTGATCGATTAACGAAAAAGAAATGCATCACGCGGGAAGTAAAACATGTAGTCCGGCCGGGCTATAACGCGATCATTGCTGCACAAACCAAGCACGAACGAACAAGCAAAAGGTGCGACGAGACGTGTCCAGCCGCAACCAACCGTGGCCTATAGCCTTCTTCTATTTGCGCACACTCGGGAGGCATATTTCCTAATAGAGACCGCTCGAAAACAGAAGGGCAACATGACAGCAGACCGAAGAACGAAAAATTACAGCAGCCTGAAGAAAGAAATCAACACTGTTTGTCGGACTGTATGGTACTTACCATGCCGACACCAGGCCCTGGCCGTCGGTCGGTCAAAGAGACCCGCCCCACGCCCCCCCACATCCCAGCAAGACGGTTTACTCATCCCATCCTTTCTCCACATGGCGAACACCTTAGCCGGCCTGCCGGCATTAGGACATGCAACCCCACCCCCGCGTGTGCTTTCTGCTGCCACGAGACAAACGGGTTGAGCAACAGGTCACAGACGAAAGTTGGGGCGAGAAGGATTGTCGCCCCGTCCAAAAAACTCGCCAACATCCCATCTCTGGTGTCTCCGCCTCTCCGTGCTGGAACATCGGCAATCGATCCCCACGGCGGCATCGCGATTGGCACAGTATCAATACCAGCACGCCTTCCCTGGCCCACCAAAAATAGTCGAGTCGCCACATTTACGACCATACAGTGTGTTGTGGTCGCGGCTTGGACGAAAAACCACCAGAATTCAAACCGAAAACGCAAGCAAGCAACAAGCTTGCCAGGCCTCCCGAACTACTTCTTGATGAAACGGAAAATACCACGCGTCTAACGACGTCAGGAAAGCGAATATGTCAAGGCAAACTCGCTTTCTACTGGCAGTAGGTTTTGACTGACTTCTGTGCTCCGGAGGAGACGAGCGTAGACACTCAAAAACCAAGAGTCCATTGAGCGTTGGTGTGGACGGTTCCACTACTGACCATCGCTGAACAGACCTCTCCCGCCAGCTGCTGTGCTCCGCAAGAGACTGAAGCGTGAAAAATACTCGAATCAATTCCGTGAAGTTTCGCGTAGCGGTTCCGCTACTGGCCATCGCTGAAGAGAACTCTCCCGCCAGCCGACGAGGGGCGGGGTGGGGGTCCCGACCCCAGCGACACCGCCATGGCGGTGATGTTGTCCGTCGACCCCCTCCTCAGGCACTCCTTCACGAGGGCATCGCAGGCGAGGGCGAGCTGTTCTCCGGTCACCTGCGAGCGTGCGTACGGCGTGTTCACAGCGCCAGCAGCAGCGGCGGGATTGAAGTGGGCATTGTTGTTGCTCGGTCGGGCAAGACCCTCTTGAGGCAAATCTACGGATGTGTGTCCCCCGATGCCCAGAAATTGCTTAAGATAGAGTGATACATCACGGGGTAACGGCGTCTCATGACTTGGTTTCTCCGCTCAACCACGTCGCTGCTCGATACAACTTCCGCGATAAACGCAAGCGGGCTTTCTCCCGCTGTTGCCAACGCACGCAGCATACACAACACGCAGCAGCGACAGCACATGGCAGCCTCCGCAACAGTGAAACAATCCCCTTCAAACGTACGCAGCTATTGGTAAACCGCGGCACGACGCCTCCGGGTCCTGGTTATGATTTGCCAAAAAAAAGGAAGAGGTCCATACACAGAGGACGGGCGGATGAATGCACTACAGTTAGCCCCCACACAAAATAACTTGGCAGTAAAAAAAACACGACCCTCCTAGATCTCAACATCTAAGAACTTGGTCAACATTCGTGAGCTCGGTTAACAACGTCTGCACGAAAGCCAGCGTAGCGGCCATTCGTGCCGCAACCCCAAAGGAGCTACGAACGCCCGCCCCGCTTACTATAACCCCCGCCGAGATAAAAGAGACACCGCAGCACGCGCGGTAGCGCAGGTTGCAGGATGTAAGATGCCACCCCCCTGGACCGATTTTCAAAGTTCGACCACTCGCTGGTGCCTGCCGAGAATCATTGCGGGGTTGGAACGAACCGGGTCTCGTCGATAGCATTCCGGAAACGTATCATTTACCTACGACGGCATCCTTGTCCTCGTGGGGTACCGTAATCGAGCCGTAGAAATCGGTCCGGGGGTTATGGTTTCTTCCGTCATGCAACCTACGGTAGGGAACAAACGCACCTGTGGTATCTTCCGTCATGCGAGCTACGGTAGGCAACGAACGCACCTGCCCCACGGGCACGTCCAGAGTCTTCACCAGGAACTCCCCCGCGTCCTGGTTGTCGAACACGTCCCACACCCCGTCGCAGGCCAGCAGGAGAAGCTCTTCCTTGCCGCTTGACCCGCGCTCGTGGACCATGATCTCTGGGCAGGATGTCACCACCTGAGAGCGTGGCAAGTGGTAGGTAGGTGTACTTAGGGTAGGTGGTTGTGGCCATGATCTTTGGGCAATACGTCCATCGACGACTAGAGCGCGTAGGCTTAGGGTAGGTAGCCCAACTACCTAGGAGGTGGGGCCATGATCGCTGTGCAATACGTCGACACCAATGAGCGTAGTGTTTGATTCTTTTCATGTTGTGCCATCACATTAATTCTGGGCGCGGTGTTTCTTACCACCATTATTCGGAACAATTTCTGGGCGCACCAGCCGGGGTCACACAGGATATGTTTCTCCGCCTTGCCCCCTCCGCGGTATATGCATACGTTTTCTCGTCGTTTGCCCCGCGCCTACCGCATATGACACAAGATAACACACCCCTTGGACCGATTTTCAAAGCTCGATTACTCCACGACGAAGAGGATGCATAAACGAGACGATACATTTTCGAAAAGCTTTCGACGAGGCGGTTTCAACGTCGCCGTTTTCGGCGCTGTGACTGTTCCTGCAGGTGAGGAATCGAGCTTCGAAAATTGGTCAAGGGGGTGTGTTATCTTGTGTCATATACGGTAGGCGGGAGGCCCTTCATTGGCCAGCAGCTGGATAGCGCGGCAGATACACACATTCAAAAAAGGCTTCCGCGTGTGTTGAGAAAGAAACACGAGACACAACACATATGCCACAGACGACGGGAGTACGACAGAGAGACAGAGGCACATATCACGTTAACGCGTAGCAAAACACAGCAGCACACCTGCTGCGCCGGGGGCAGCAGGTTCCCGTCGTCATCCTTCCTCTGCTTGTAGTACAGGTCGCCGAAGCCTCTGGTGGGCACCACGCTCTGGCCCTCCACCTTATCGTCGTAGGCGGTTCGTACCACCTGAAAATGAAACAGGAACAAGACACACTTTATGTCGTTGCTGCTGCCTTTTCGGAAGGTTGCGTTGTTGTTGGCATAGATGCTGCTGTTGCTGGGCGTAGCGCTTGCCTCAAGCAACGGATCACTTCACCGGCAACCGCCTCAAGACGTTGAAATTGGGGTAACGTTGTTGTTGGCAAGATTGTTCCTGTTGCTCGGTGTGGCGCTTGCCTCAATAACTGGACCGCGACATTGCTAACCGCCTAATACGCCCCGCACGCGCTGACTACCACCCATGCACATCGCCCCTCTGAACGCACCCTGCTGCTTGTTGTAGCCGTCAGCGTCCTCTACACAACCTCTCCTACAATGATCCCACGAACCTCCTCTCCCAAAACGCCTCGAGGAGTTTCTCCCCCGAGTGATTGCTCCGAGATCATGAGTAGCGCTAGGGTACAAACAATTTATTCCGCATGAATGCAAACGATAACAAAGGAGACTTGCGGTTCGAGAAACTACCTCAACCGAAGGGGGTGCGTTGGAGGTTGGAGTTTTCACAGCAGGAAGTGTCGAGAAAAACCTGTCGGATTACCGACTGGATTGATGACCATCTTACCACGCAAGTCGTCCCGTCTGGCTCCGTGTAGGGCACCTCGAACGCCTTGCCTCCGGCCGCGGTTACCCGCTCCCTCTCCGCCTCGTCCGCCGCGGTGTGATCCCTGCTCATCGCGGTCACCATTAACCCCCCCGCACCCCCGCAGTCATCATCACGGTCCCGTCTTGCTCCATCGTCGTCGCCGCCGCCGCCTTCCTTGGCCTCACCGCCGAGCATCATCGACTCCAGCAGCTCGCGAATCTTGTCGGCACCATCGAACTCGCAGCCCTCGTCGTCGTCCTCTTCTTGGTCTTCCAGCCTCACCGAGTCGTTGAGCCCCCCCCATTCCCCTTCTGCCGCTGGCCTGCCACCGGTCGTGGCCTCTCCCTTCACCTCCTCTACACCGGAGTTCCGTTCGCCGCCGAGCTTTAGCCCCAACGCTTCAGCCATAGTCTCCGCCGCGCCCTTCCTATCCTCCACACCCACACTGCTGCTGCTGCTGCTGCTGCCGCCGCCGCCGCCGCCGCCGCCGCCGCCGCCGGTGGTGGTCATTTTCGTGCTGTCGCTGCTGCTGTTGCCCTTGCTCTTCTTGCCCTTGCCGCTGCTGCTATTGTTGTGGTCGGGGGGAACCATGATCAGGATGGCACGAGAGTCGCCAGCGTTGGCGACGATCACGTGGGCCGGCGTTACGAACGAGACCACCGCTGTGCTCCCGCTGCCATCCCTCGCCTGATGACAAAAACAAAACAAGGGCAACAGAAATAAGAAGGAAAAACAGACCGGTGTCGTTAATACCCAGCACAAGACGCCCGCCAGCAGCGCTTGCTGTATCATGGGAGGCATACTTGCGACTGCGAGCACCAAGGTGGCAGAAGCGAGAGGTATTCAGTCTACTGCTGCACAAGGAGCGCTTACGCGACTCGTTGCAGCATCCGCTTTGTTTCTCGAGAGCCAAAAGACTCGTGGGGCGCACGGCAGTGGTCGAGCGAAAATTCCGATCCTCATGCTCTCGTGTGACTTATACACGAGCTTTTGTTTTATCGATGTCAAGTTTTTTTTTTTTTTTGTATCGCAGGTCTCTCTGTCACTTGTCTGCCGCTCTCACCTCGAACCGCCTTCCATCGGAGGGGTTCTTCGTCTCCGTGACTACCATCCTCGGCTGCTTGGCGAGGAGCTCGTCGACATTCACGAAGGCCTCCATCACCGCCGGGCACAGCTTAGCGAGAGCCCTGACGAGGAAAGGGTTAGAGAGGGGAACACCGTGCCGCGAGTGTGTGTTTACTACTAGCATCGACCGCGCTAACCGGCTGACCAACGAACAGACGTCAGCCTCAGTACGGTTGAAAACATAAAACACTTCTAAAGGCCATTAGCTGGGACCCCGTGAGGGGGCGGCAATGGGGGAGGCCAACGTGTGTGTGAACGCGAGAGGGTCAAAAGGGAGGCAACGACAGAGCCCAGAGAAGGGCGAGTTGGGGGCACGGTAGCGCGGTGTGTGTGTGTGTGTGTGTGTGTGTGTGTGTGAACGTCAGAGGGTCGGTCAAAACGGGGACGGAACGAGGTACTGTACGAAGGAACACTCCTCGCCGACTTTGATCTCGTGCCCGGGGGAGTACCGAGCGAGGGTGTGTGACAAGGGGCGAAGGCATGAAGAGGGGGGGGGGGG